AATATGATCCAGTCAACTGCCTTAGCATAGTTCTTAAAACACAAGCCAGCCAGCCAGCCAATTTACTCTGCTTACTTGTATATGTTTCTGCAGAAATTTTTTTAAAATTTTTTATTATTTTTGTGTGAGTGTACCGTCAAATCAGATCTGACTGGTACAGGAGGAGATTGTCCCTCCTTCCTCGGCAGAGCATCTGGTGGTGGATTTGAACCGTGCGCTTCTGGGATTGTAGTTGCAGCTCCTTACCACTAGGCCACCAGAGCTCCCCTGAGGCCTTTTAAATACAGCTTTTTCCCACTTCTGTCGACATAGTATTATTATCCCAAAGCATCTCTTCATTGCATCATAGCACCCTCCATTCCATATATGTGCCTTAATGTCATAGACATATCAGAATATCATGCTGTATCTACCTTACAGTCATCCATGGAAAACTTGAGTAAAATTACTTTTTTTCTGAATGATAGGTAACCTAATAAGCTAGGGAACAGAGTGAAAACTCTTTTTCTTTTGTAAAGGCCTGCTGTAATCTGAAACTTTGGAGGAGTTTCTAGTTGTTGTTCAGCTACTTCTACTTAGGACAAATACAGCCTTTTGCAGGTTAATACTATAAACCTAACTTCCAGCAAGGCCTTTAAAAATACCCAGGAGTGTTTATTTTTTCCCTTTATCACCTCAGCTTTCTACTCTTCCTCCGCAGAGAATAATCATACTTTGGGCTCTTGCACTGTACTTTTAAAACTGAATTACTGGTGACCGACCACCTTCTAGAAAATCCTGTCACTATCCTAGACTGACTGACCTCTGTCCCTTCCTGTGGAGACAACATTAGGAAGTATGTAAAGTGTGATCTTTAGAGTTAGACGTTGATTTGAATCAAGGCTCTACCATTTACTATAGACTTAAGGTCACTTCATAACTTTCTTTGCTTTAGTTTTTTTACTACTGAATTGAGGTTAGAATTTACCTTCTTGGAGTTCTTGTAAAGTTTAAATGAAACATCTCTGATATGCTTCTCAGAGAGGACAGGCACATCATTAAGACTGTGTTTTTAAGCATCTAGAGAGGGTGACCCCTCTTTTCTAAGATAACTCCGCCTTTTCCTCCTGAAAGTACTAAATAAACACGAGCTTTTTCCTGCCCTACCAAAAAAAAAAAATTAATGTGTTTTTTTAACTTTGTCAGCTGCACAATAGTTTGAGCCTATAGTTTATCTTGCACTCTCTGGTGGTCACATGTCTGTTTAGCTAAATGCTTCAAGGAAACCCACTTTTTAATCCTAAAAAAGAAACATCTTTATCTTTGCCTGAAGCCTCCAGGAAAAGGACAGAGTAGAAAAATCAATGTGGCCCTAGCATGTAAAATCTGCAGTCTTACTAAGATAAATGATGCGAATCAGTTCAGTGTAGAAACTGTAGTAGGTGTTTGTTTTCTGTCATTTCTGCAATCTGTCAACTCTTGGTGATGTCCAGCCCCTTCCCCGTTGGAGGTGTTTTTTGGTTGTTTTAAGTTCTGTACTAGCGCTGATGAAACTCTGGAGTCTGAACAGGTGTCTCTTGTCCTCTCCAGCTCTAATGGTCTATAGGCGCTCACTGTCCAAGCTCACAACTTTATCACAGAAATGCTTTATCATTTTATGTTCAGTTATGCGTTCTGCCTTGTGTTTTGTGAAAGCATTTATTGTCAAACCTTCGGTGGTGTATTTTGTGAAAAAAGTTAAAAGATGATCTATGTGCACAGATATGGTGTCCCCAAAAGGCTTTTTTTCCAGTCAAAAGTCATCCGGAATTGACTCATACCTGACCCTCCAGTTTTTGGAGGCTATAAATAACACGGGAGGAGATTGCTCATCTTTCTGCTTTAGAGTAGCTGGTGGATTTGCACTGCTTACATTTGGGTTAGCACAGCTTCTTAACCACCAGGCCACCAGAGTTCAAAAGTCAAAAGATATTTTTCACTTTTCTTTTTCTCCCAAAGCGCTTGCATGTGTGCAACGCCACCCCCCCCCCCAACATTAGTGACCCCTGAGGTGTTGGTAGACTGAGATAAAATGTGAAAAACTAAGACTAGAATCGCTGAGCTCAAGAATTTCTTGTACAGTGAGACCAAAAGAAATTGGTGACATGAAAGTAAATTTATGCTTTGTCTCTCATTTGTAATGCCTTTTCCCCCTCCCTTCACAGATGCCAATTCTCGGAAACAGGAGGCAGAATGGAAAGAGAAGGCAATCAAGGAGCTAGAAGAGTGGTATGCAAGACAGGACGAGCAGTTACAGAAAACAAAAGCAAACAACAGGTCAGTCCACAGGGTTTCAGGATTGAGTCAGATTCATTTTCCAACATCCATTCTGGGTTTTAGCTGCTTAAAACTTTTAGTGTGGAATGTCTTCATTTTGAGAAAACATGGAAAATAAGGGTTGTAAGTCTCTTTTGGTCTAGTGAGCATCATTCAGCCTGTCCTTCAGCTGTAGTGAGTTTAGCTCATAAATTAAGACCCAGGTTAATGTGCACCATCTATAATGATACGCAGCTAAAGGAAAATGTCTTTGTGGATTAAATCCATGCGTAAAAATAAAACCCTGAAATGAGAGGTCACTTTCCTGGATATACCATGATCCCTTTTCTTTCCAACTGATTATAGGCTTGGCCAGATTGTATATTCTAAATATAGCCTTACTTTCTGAAAGCTGCCTCATAAAGGGGTCCATTGGCTGGGAAATGTGTTTATAATTAGGTAGCAAGGATGTTCCAACACAGTGATTTCAGAAGTTAGATTTCTCTGAGTGCTTATTAGCATCTAAGAATATCTTGGATCACCTTTTTTTCCCCTCCTCCTTTTTCTTGTTGTGTGTCGTCGAATCAGATCCGACTGGCCCTGGAGGAGACTACCCATCCTTCTCCAGTGGAGCACCTTGGCAGATTCGAACTGTGCACTTTCAGGAGGAATACCTTTTAAAAATACGTTAAAATACTTCACTTGCTGTGAAGTAAAAGTTGTGGGGAGTAAACACATTACTGACAACCAGTAGTGTCTAACTGCTTCCCACTTAGGTCCATCTTGCAGGTAGCGTAGAGAAAGAGGCAGAGGCAGCGCTGCTTATCCCTTTGGAGGCAGGTTGCCCTTCTTCCTTTTGCTGGCCTCAGCCTACCTTTCACTTCCTGGTGACTCATGTTTACTTCATTGTAAAAGCAGGCTTGACTCAGTCTGGAAATAGTTTTAATTCTTCCTGTAAAGAGCCTTATGTTCTTATACCCCATTGAGGAAAGAAGAGACTGAGCTGGGTGCTCTGGTCTCTGGTAACGCTATTAAAAGATGATATGCCCAGGAGGAGGGAGCTGTTCTAGCCAAGCTGTTCCATGATGAAGCAGGTATAGTTGCTGTCAGTCAGAGTTGACTCAATGTCCCCTAACAATGACGGAGCAGATTTACTTCTATATCTAAATCTTCAGCCGTTTTCCCTCCTTTGGTCATTCTTAGTTCTGCCTGCTGCCCGTCAGATGCTAGGCTTGAGCAGCTGCTGGCCATCTCCCTGAGGAGTGGTGTGCTCTCCAGGATTGTCAGTCTTGTTCCATTAGAAGTTAAATGTGGCAAGTATGGTGGGAACTGCTCTCTAGTTCATCAGCTACACGGGCCTTGTGTTGGGTGTGTCTGGTTGGTGTGAATGCTGACAGGTTCAGGCTCTCTTACCCGCTCTGTTCATGCAGAATATCATTCCTTCAGATGCAAGTTCCAGTCTAAAGAACAATGAGTGGGTAATTTTCACAAGCACCTTACAAGGTCCAGTGGTGTTGGCCCAGTTAGTGTTTTCCACAGATGAACCTGCTCTAAAATCCTTGTAAATGGACATAACAAATTTTCAGGCCTAAATAAAAAATGGCCATAATGGAAAAGGTTAACTTTTGCAGAAAATTTCTCAAGCCAGTTTTGCCAAGTTACATTCCATCTATGAAGAAAGGGATTTATCTGTATACAGATCAGTTGTCTTGGAGAGAGTAATAAGCCCAGATTATAGGAGCTCAGCCCCTCTAGGTTTATGGCATTGTTAACTTTTTTTAGAAAAGCCATGGAGCACTGTGGTTAAGTGTTCAGCTACCACCCAGAAGATGGGCCTTCAGACCTCATTTGCTTCTCTGTGGGAGAAAATTATGGTGGTCTGTTTCCAGTAAAGATTTACAGTCTTGAAAACCTTCTGGGCAGTTCTGCCCTGTCCTGTAGGGTTGGTGTGAGTTGGAAGCCACTCATTGATAGTGGGTTTGAGATACTGTCTTTACCTGGCTTATATTAATAATGTTGATAGTATTAGTTTAGTTGGTCTCAAATATGGGCTTCTTTGAATTCCAGAGATGAGAATAGACTTTCCAGCCATACACTGAGAAAATAGAGCTGAGATGGAACCAGGTGGCTAGTCTTGCAGTAACCTTGATTTATAGGACTGTTCCTGAGTCCATAAAGCACATGAACTAATGTCACCAGAGTCCCAGGGCAGAAGGGGTAGTTTATACTTCGAGTAATTCTTCAGTTGTGGAGTGGGAATGAACTAATTTAGAATCACTTTAGAGGGCTTCTTCCAATGGCACTTGCCTTCCCTTGGAGATTTTTATATTGTTGGCTGTTGCCCATCCATTTTGACTCTAAGCTGTTTTATAGAACTTAAAGGAATAGGTCCCACTTATTTATAAAAAGTGACTTTTTCTCATGTCTGTCTACATGTAGGCAGTGAATGATGATTTTAGAAAAGAAACTGAGGTGCCTGTGTTAATCAAGTGTCCTTTTCACTTGATGATTTATGTAGCTCTTGAACTTTTCAAGGAACAAAATACAAAAGCAAAAGAGCAGGGGAAATTGCTGGGTCAACCACAGACTACATCTCTCTCTCTTCCTCATTTGAGGCCTAAATAATGCCTGAACAAGAGCCATGAATTATTGACAACCTGTGGAAAAGAGCTCTTCTCTCATAGGAGTCAGCTGTCATAGGATCAGTGACTCTTCAGTCGTTGGATACATTTATGAACCAAGAATAACTCGGGACACATTCCTTTCCAAACCGTTAACAAAAGCATTTTCCCTGTATTACAGGCAGTTTTTGGGCTGAGCCTTTCTAGCTGTTTCCAAGCTTGGAAAGGTTTGGCGAATCCTTGATTCTCTGGGATGGTAGATAGTTTTCCATGCCCTCTGTGGGTTATTTATGGAAAGTCAGCATTGCTCTTAGGCCTTCTGAGCTTGCTGTGTGGTTAGGACTGAAGGCATCTCTCCTCCTCCTTCCCATCGCACAAGCCTTCCTGCCCTGACTGAAGATTGCTGCTTTGGAACCCGTCTGTCTGCTGGTGAAGAACAAGCAGGTGGAGGGTGGCCTGTTTAATGTGTATAATTTTCTCTTTGTTTGAGGCTTGTAACCTTGACAGGCTGTGCTAGTCACTGACAGGCTCTTTAGTCTTGAGGCTAGCTGCAAAGGAGCTAAAGCCTGACACTCAGGCTTTTGTCATCTTCCTGATGCCTTAACAGGAGTCACTAAACCTTGATTCTCTTCCAGTAGGAACAAGCTCAAGTTGAAATCAATTAGCTCTAGCCTTTTTTGTAAATTGAAAGGATTACGGCTTTACACGCTGGCCTGCGTTTTCTTTCCCTCCCTCTCACTCTGCCCACAAACAAGTCTCTGTTTTCCTATTGAGTCACTTGAGTTACAATCAGACTGCTCTTTGTGCTTTCTCTACATTTCCACAAACACCTTCTATATTTAAACCAGATGAAAAAGAAGGAAGTTATGTGTACGCTTGAAAATAAGCAAAATTACGAGAGCCTTCCTTAAAATAAATATGGGTGCTTGAAGTAAGAAGCAGGCATGATTATTCTTTTTTTTTTTTTTTTAAATATATATTCTTAAAGAAAATGTCCTTTCCATTCCCCTGTCCCAACCTACCTGGCAAAAGATAAAGATAGACTCTGTGAGGGAAGCTCTGGGCCCAGCCACAGTGGACAAAAGTGGACTGACTAGACCCTTGTATGTTACCAGAACAACAGAGTCTTGAGTCATAGCCAGACCACCCCCTACAGTGCAAATTCCTCCACCCGCTGAAGGATGTCCTTTCCTCTTCATCCCAGAGTCCTGCCATTTTGATCCCCTTTCTGATCTGATAGTGAAGAATTAAGAATGCAGTTCTGCCCTTTGGGGCCAGACTTTGTCAAAGCCAGTCAGGTCTGGCATGGAAATAGCCAGAAACTGCACCATCCTCACGATCAGTCAGTCGTATTCAGGTGCACACATGTCAGATCAGTGCCAGGCTTGAAGTTCCTTCTGCTGCTACTTGTCTCTAGCTGCTCTTTTTCTAGAAGGCATTTTTAAATGACTACATGCATTCCTGGGAAACTGAAAAAGCAGTGTTTGGGTAGTCCAGAGGGAAACAGACAAGCATATCCAGCCTGTGACAGCATTCACATCCATTGAGCTTCACTGAGGCCAGCAGGAAGGTGTCTTGGCTTCTTGGGCACACACTGCTTGGAAAGAAGCCTTCACATGTAGGAAAAAGAGCCCTGGGCATGGAGCCAGGCAGCTCTGGTGTCAACCGTTGAGTGGCTGAGTGACTCCATACTTCTTTTCAGAATAAAATGCATATGAAAGGGCTTAGCTCCCAATTGGTGCTTAATAAATGCTCACAGTTTCAGCCAACTGTAGAAGGGATGGAAGGCACCTTATGCACTCTGGAGAATCCCATGCAGATGGCCAACCAGGATCCTGGGCCTGGTGTGCTTCTCTACTGGGGTTAGCATGGAGCCTTGGGATCACTCCTCTGTTGTGGGTTTTAGATATTTCTGCTTCTCAATGTTCTCTCTTTTTTCCTGCCTGCTTGCCTGCCTTTTGGACCTCTTGCTGTCTAGGGTGGCAGATGAAGCTTTCTACAAACAACCCTTCGCTGACGTGATTGGTTATGTGTATGTTGCAAAACTAATTCCTTTTCTTGTTTTGAGTCTTTCTACTTTTTTATTTAGATTTAATGCTCCTTTTATGTCACAAGTTGCTTTGCTTTTTAAATTATTTCAAACTGGAACTTTGGGGTTGCTGAGAGTTGTTGAGCTGGGGACATGAGCCATTGAGAGTTAACAGGTCTCACAGAATTAGGACTTCTTGCACCTTTAACCATTTTTCATACTCGGGGAGGGAAGAAAGCTAACTGCATTTCAAACTGTGAGCCTTTTGACCTGCTCTGGGAAGGGCTTGGCATTTGGGTGGACTCTTGCTGTGGCTGCCACCACTGATGCCACTGTCCTATGCCTCCCTTGCCCCTGGGTACAGAGAACATTTTCCATACCTGGGAAGAGGTGCAGACCCCAGGAGGCCCAGAGCAGTAGGCAGCAGCACTTCTATTTCCAGAGTCAGTGCTTTCAGGGCAGCCTTTTCTATAATTGCTTCCTTAAAAAATAAATAAACGGGGTTGTTTGCGTCCCTTGGGGCAGAAGAGTACTGAGCAGAAGAGGGCATCTCCCCTGGGTACCAATATTGGTTTTCTGTAGCTAATATATGGGAAATTGTGTGACCACCAGTTTCAGATGCCCTGCTCACTCCAGCAAAAGGAGACCATCAGCTTTGAAGTCAAGATAGTCAAAGCTGACAGATAGCTATTTTGGCTTCACCCCAAGAAAACTGCATGTTAATTGTTTTAAGCGGGGGGAGGAATTTAAAATAAGGAATCTTGAAGGCTTGAAAAGCTCAAAAATTAGGTCTACCTTTACATGAGGTGAATGAGGATGGGATGTAGCAGAAGGAACCCGTGAGGAGGACAGGTAATAGACTGAGGTCTGTGAAGCCTCTTAGGACCTATGACCCTGTGGTCATCCTGTTAGAAGACAGAGCTGGGTTTTCTGGGTCCCCAGGGTGAATTTGTAATGAGACTTGTGAAATGCTGGACTTACAGGTGGTGTTTGATTGATTTTGCACATTCTCTCTGGAGTAGAAATGGAGACTGGAAAGGTCGAGTCTGGGTTTGCTGGGCAGCAGGGTGGCCCAGCAAAACCAGCTGCACGTTCCCAAGCATAGTTGGAGTGGCAAGGGCATGTCTAGCTTACTGACCATCTGCATTGAGCTCATTCTCATTTTCTATTATCTGACCTAAAGTTTCTCTCCTTGTTTCTTTTCTTCTCTTCACCCTTAAGCACAAACATAAACCATCCTTGCTACAGCCTAGAACAGTTAAGTAAACCTTTCTCACTGCCCCTAACTGTGTGTGCCATGAAATCGCAGTGTTGTAGTGGCTCTGGGCTTCAGCGGTGTTTGCCACGGCCATCCCTGTGATAGTGCCACCCCTCCCTACCCACAGACCAGTCATCTCCATTGCTTTTGCTTTGCCCGTGATGCTTGTTGGAGTAGATGAATATTGTGTCTTCCCTCTTACCACTGTCCTTCTGGGACTGTAGCTCCCACCAGTCTGCTTCTAACTGGGGGTGGAATGACACTGATGTAAAGAATGTTGGTGCAGCATCCTGCCAAAAAGCCGCTACATTGGCGCTCCTGCCAGAGTGTGCCCCGAGGGGCCCAAGGCACCTGGCTGGAGGGAGAGTGGCAGACTTTCGGCTGAAGTGAAGAATGTCTGACAAACCCTCTTCCAGAATGGCTTTAGTCTCTAATGCCTGCTAGCATGGGAGCTTTGTCTTGAATCCCTTTTGATCTGCCCTGTTTCTCTCCAGCCTTAGAAATTAAACACAGTCCATTTTGCAGTTACTTGTGGGCTCAAGTCTCTAAATTTACTTAAAACTCAGTACAGCCTAGCATGAACTACCATTCAAGTTCTTGACCAGTCTGCAGCTTTGTTAGTGCATAGCTGGCTAAAGACTTGGTTTTTAACACACAGTATGGGCAGAGAGAGAGAGAGCACACACGCCCTGAACCAAACACCTGTATTCCAACATTTTACACAGCAGCCTGGGTACATCTGTGCCCAGAAGAACTGGCCAAGTCTGTGCTGGGGTCTCAGCTGGGCCAGGGGCTGTTACTCTTTGGAAAATCAGAATGCTATCAAGTCAGGCATGAAGAGGCAGTCACTTTTATAACAAGGCAGCCAGGTAATTCACCGCAGTTTCACATTAAACCAACAGATTCTGTTGTTGCTTCCAGGGCAGCAGAAGAAGCCTTTGTAAACGACATTGACGAGTCTTCCCCAGGCACTGAGTGGGAACGGGTGGTCCGGCTGTGTGACTTTAACCCCAAGTCCAGCAAGCAGGCCAAAGACGTCTCCCGCATGCGTTCAGTCCTCATCTCCCTCAAGCAGGTCCCCTTGGTGCACTGAAGAGCCGTCCTGTGGAAACACTACATCTGCAATATCTTAATCCTACTCAGTGAAGCTGTTCACAGTAATTGGATTAATTATGTTGAGTTTTTTTGGACCAAACCTTTTGTCTTTAGAGTTGATCATTGTTTGTGATTGCATGTTTCCTTCAACTTTGTTTTCCTCCTTCAACTGTTCTCCCTGGCATTCAGAGAGGAGGGAGGAAGAGGAAGAAGGGAGGGACACCTCCCAGCAGTAGCCTCACCCGTGCTTTTGTGCATTATTCTGAGAATAAATTTCTGTTCAAACAATAAACATGAAGCTTCTTTATTGACCTTAAGGCGTTCTGTGATATGGAGGGAGATTTGAAGGACCTTCCTTTGTCATGTCTAGAACTGTGGAGGCATAGCCATTGTGCTCTCACCTCTTCCTTGAATAGTTCCAAGTTTCTATTTTCTTTGGTAGAATTCTGTGAAAGTTTTCATTTGAAAAGGAGGTCCCATAGCTAGAAATAGAAATGCCCTTTAATGGAGCTGTGAATTCACTAATCTAGCCTTTTCTCCCCACCTACACTCTTATCTCTTAGTATAGGGTAACACACTTCATTAGGGGTCTCAGAGATATGCTGGCTGTAATAGGACCATTACTTTGTTGAATTCAGCCAGTAGACCTATGTCAGGATTACTCTTGATTCCTTTAGCCGTGGACATCTCTGCTATCTCTCTTAATACTTCTTTTGTAAAATCTCTTCCTTGGATATGTGCAGTCCAGTACAGTAGCCACTTGCACATAAGACTTAAATTTTAAGAAACACTTTGAGTCCTAGTTACATTACACGTGATTAGGTGTATATACATTTGCATCATCACAAAAGTCCTGTTGAATTGCTCCAACCAGCATAGTTGGTGTGTCCACTGGACTACTCCATTCAGGCAGCAAACACACTTGGAACACATCATAAGGAGTAGTTTGTGCAATAATACATTATTTTGATCTGTTTTTATTGTGTGCTATAAAGTCCATTCCAAGTTAGCAATCCCATATTAAAAAGCAGAACTGCCCATAGGGTTTCCTATAGGGGGATGTCTTGATTGCCAGGTCTTTTCTCCCCCAAAGAGTGGCTGGTGGATTCAAATCATTTAACCTTTTTGGTTAACAGCTAAGTGCTTAACTGTTGTGCCACCATCAGGGTTACCTACACAGCTACCTATAGTTATGTTGTTTTCAAGTTTGGAAATTGATTTAAACTCCTCTAATACACCATTCTTGGGTATTGCATTGCCAAGAAGGAAAATTCACCATCTCTCTGTGTTAATCATATTTGGGTAAGAGGGACTGTTACTCCTCTTTCCTCCTTTGGGCCTTTCTTAATGGTCCTCCTTTCTAGCATCTCTGCCCATTCCTCCCCTTTATCTGAACAATACACTCACTTGTTCATAGACACTTATTCATAGAACATTTGTTACTTCTTGGTCTTGCTAATGGCATTGTAACTTCCTACCAGCTACCTGTCAAAATCCAGAATTTACTCATAGGTCACTTCCACAATTCCCTCCTTTACTCCTTTCAAACTCCCTACACTTGTGTCATCTTGTGGTTGATAGCATCTGGGAATATCTTAACTTCCCAAAAGGGGCTCCCTGAGGATGGATGTGGCAGTTTTAACTCTATTGTGTGCTATGTTAACGTTTATAAAGCAAAGTGGTTTTCCATTGACTTATTCAGATTCATGACTTTGCAGACCCTATATTGTAGCAGCACTTTCCCCCAGTAACTCCCTGCGTTTCTCATTTCTGTTCATCTTTATCCAATCCTTCTCAGCTTTCTCCCTTGACAGATACAGCCCTTCTGACCTTCTGTGACTATTCTAAGGAGAACCTCATTGACGTTAGTGTTTACCTTAAACAGTGTCTTTGTTTGGCTGAAAGTTAAGCCATATGGTTTAGTCTAGTCCAGGGCCACAGGGCTACTGAGGGCTGTAGTCTCTGGGGTTCCAGCAGACCAGCATGCCTGGCCACTTTGGTGATTTTTCTACATTTTTCTCCTCTGTCCGGAACCTTTCATGATCCTTTTCAGTGGTTAGCAGTTTTGGTCTCAGAATAGTGATAAACAAGTGGTCCATTAATCCTTTGAACTTTATGCATATTTCTAAGGGAGTGTGTGTGAAAAGATTACAAACCATACATACTATTTCTTGATTAGTAATACACATTTTGTTTTATAACATTATAATTGATTAATACAATGAATTACAATGTCTGATCAACCTCTTAAGTATGCATACTTATAGCTTATAAAAATACGCATATTGAACTATCGTCTGGCAAACTTCTGTATGGTATTGAGTATAATCCCTTTCACCTGGATATCGCAGTTTAAAAACAATAAAGGTACTGGCAGTCTCCAGGCTAAGAAGTGACAAAACAGTGTAAAAGTGATGCTGTGTGACTTCTAAAGCTAGGATGTAAACAGCAATGTAGCTTATGTCTTAATATTCTGGCACATAATTGCTGGTAGTACTGAGCCACGATGTAGAAAGCTCTAGTGCCTTCAAGACATGATGCTGTGAGGAAGCGCAGCCTGGTCCACTTAGAGACTAAATGGAGAGGCCTGGTCACACCCTGATGTCATACTTTGTGCTCTGTCTGGTCCAGCCATATCTGACCCAAATTCCTGAGACACGCTGAGCCAGAACTGCCGGTGGGTCCTTTCACAAATCCCTGATCACCCAGGGATCTCTAAATTTTCAGGAAGTCAAATAGTAATCATAATTTCAGATTTTCTCTCACACATGTATTCACATGAAATGTCCTAAAAAGGAGTCCGTGGACTCAGGGACTATGTGGTTGGCGCAACATTTTAGCTTCAAACCCTTGGGACTACTGTGCTATATATGGCAAATTTAAGTTTTAATCAATTTTATTTCATTTATTATTAAAATTTTGTTAAGATAATGCCATTAGACGCCTTTAAGAAATTATTTAAATAACCTTCAAAATGTAAGCAAGGAACAATGTAAATAACTTCTGGGAAGGGAAATGCTTTTAGATAGTTAAGTGTAAAATGAAATACAAATGTTAGAATTTCCACATAGAAATATATTTATTTTCTTCTTTAGAATTTGGCTCAGAACAATCATATATTTACATTAAGATTTTCATTTCATGTGATTATTTACCTATATGTAATAATTTATTTCCTAATATATTAACCTTTCCATGAACTTAATAAAAATGAAGATTTGGTTTTTAATTCAGTAGGATCCTTTCAATATTTGGTATGAAACTTGGTAGGGATGTTCGTGTTTAGTATACATAGCATTTATAGATTTCTATAAGGAATGGTTGATGCCCTTTCATCGTATACCATCTCATCCCAGACACTGAGAGCTGTTAGCTTCTTCTGTAGAAGTCCCATGGAATGCTTCAACAATAACCAGGACCTGGAGACAAGGAACCTTATAAGGTGGGGAGAGTTGTACCAGCCAACCTGGTATTTTTGACCTCTCAGGTTCCAATGTGAGCTTGAGTCCTTCCGTTTATTTTATATATTAACACTGAACTAATATGATGTAAAAACTCTTGGGTTTTTCTAAGAGAAAAAGATCTGAAAAACATAATCAGCTTTTGCTTTTGAAGGTCATCTCAAAATATCCATAACAATGTGTCACATTTCTAGACCCAATACTGTATTGACAAAAGTTCCCATAATAGATAGGAATAGGTGATTGTGTTCCAAGCTGAGAATGATATCGAGGCTACATCAGGTTGTTTCTAGTCAGGTAATTTATTCTTTTTTTTTTTAGGTAATTTATTCTTATTAAAGCTTTTGGTAGCCTGGAATAAATTAGAGTACCTCTACATTTTCAAAGTGTTTATGAAAGTGGGTGCGAGGGTGATTTAGCATAAAAAGCACATGAATCTTGGATTCAAATCCTATTTTTAAGTGGCTCAACGTGTAAGGAGTTGTGCTGCCAACCCAAAAGCAAGTGGTTCAGGAAAAAAGATAGGCAGTCTCTTCCCCTGGAATTTACAGCCTCTGAAAAATCCACTGGAGAAGCAGCTTTGAAGGGGTCCCAACTTTAGGGCAATAAGTGAGTTGAAGAAGGGCTTCCAAGGCTGTGTATCTTTATGGATGCAGACTGCCTCCTCTGTATCCTCCAGAATGGTTCGTGAATTCGGACCACTAACCTTTCAGTTGCAGACGAATGCTTAACTACTATGCCATCAAGACACCTTTATAAAAACAACACTACGCTTTGATAAATATTGTCTCTAAAATCAGAATTAAAATACCTACCAAGTGGGTTGTGACATTGGATAATATATACAAAAAAACACCTAGTTTAGAAGTTGGCACATAGTAGGCGCTTAATAGTTGCTATTACTATTTCAGGTTGCAGTTGGTAACAATCTCTTTGGGCCTTTTGTGGTGTTTTTTTTTTTTTTGGGCCTTTTGTGTTTTAACACCAATGAAAGCACATTTTTTTTTAAGCTAGAATTAAGGTTCAGAGCTCTGGATCCTATTAATATAAACACTGTGCTAATGGCCTATCATCTTTTCAACGTAAAATGAAAACCTGTTGGAGCAAGAGATGTCTGTAGCTAGGGAAATGGCATCTTTATTCTGGTTCCTGGTCTACAGTCTATAAATTCTGCCAGAATAATAACATCATTCTACAAATAACACCTAGGGTTGTGATGGCTACATCCAATGTCTTAATTGTGCTGTTGGCTTCCTGTGTATATACATATGCCAAAGCTGCTTTTATCTCTGTACATTTTAAATATGGCTCTTAAGAAAGCTGTATGGTTGGTTGGTGTTTTTAAAAATTACCTGAGTCTTTCTTGGTAAGAAAGACTGTTTCCTAACTAGATTTCTTTCTCTGACCTGGATCTGGAGTTAGAAGAGTGATTAATCCATACTCCAAGGCCACATTCCCAACCCAAGCAAGGCCTGTAGGTCTACATGATCTAGTAAGCATATACATAGTAGCTCCTTTTGGCACAGAGTTGTGACTGGTACTTAAAGAGTTTGAACTGAAATGACCTGTTAAGAGAAAAGGACAACATTTACACAATAGGAGTTGGACAAGTGACTTTGGAAGAAGAAACAAAAACCTGAAATGCTGGTTTCTCTGCCAGAGTCTCTTGGGTTTTTGTTTTGTTTTTTCAAATGCTCATCAAAAAGATAAGACTTTGATTTCAGTCTGTAGCTCTGGAGGTTATGTCGGCCATATCCACCCCTGGGACACCTTAGTAGATCCTGCGAGTTGTGTAGTCCAGGACCATGCTGGCAGCTCCAAGCAG